TGTAAAAATTGTTTTGATTGGCATGTTACATGAATTTGTAATTCAATAAATTGTACTCGTATATAAACACTATGTGTAAACTAATAAATTTTCTTTAATATATTAATTAAAAAAAATGAAATTAAATATTTTAATTTTTTTAAAAAGTTAAATCATAAATATTTATACTTAAAAAATTTGGGGCAAATTTGCCCCAAATTTGTATACAGTTTAAGGGATAGTTGATACCTTAATTGATTTTGAGCAATTAATTTAATAGATGTCATATATAATATAATTGATCATTTATTCTGCACATACCTCATATGTCCACGTATTAGATGCTATCTCTAATAGCATACTATAATGACGCCTCTAGCTCTCCCACAAAAAATTGTTCACCCCCTGTAATTTTGACCAATCGAATTGCAAGATCAGGTGTAACGTAAAAATTGAAGCGAAACTATTTTTTACAAAAAACAAGAATAACTTTTAATTTTGATTAAGAAACCACCTTCTGCGGCCTAATTAAAAATGTTCCTCGTGATGGTTTACTAATAAAAGTTATATTGTTCTAATCCTAACCCTAATTATAACACGGTTTTCTTGGTTTTCATTTTACGCGTAACTTTTTTTACTTTTTTTTTACTTAGAAAACAAAACACGTTTGTTTTGACGCCTGATCTGAAATTTTGATTGGTCAAAATTACTGGGGATGAACAATTTTTGTGGGAACACTACCTAAAACTAGGGGATGGCTAAAGCCATGTACCCACGTGATTTTAACGTTTTAATCGTTTAAATTAAAATTAAGGTTAGGATTAGGGTTAGTTGGGTGTTGATATAAGAAGAGGGGTATAGGTAAAATTGCCTTCCCGACATTTTTAATTAGTGCCCCAAGATAGGTTAAGACTGTTGTTTTTCGTCTTTTTGCGTTTTCTTTATTTTTTGACTTCTTCGGGCTGATCCGTGTAAACAAAATTTCGCGATTCCGGTTGGTTGATTTACACAAAAAAGTCACGTGGGCACATGGCTTTAGACGACCCCTATAACTAGTAGGTTGGTAATATGATATCAAAATTCTCATTTTCTTTTGGCTAATGGGAATTTGGCATTATTCGGTCCAACAAGTTGTCATTTTAACGTAATAACTGATTATTTTGACGCAGATCTCATGATCCACAAATCAGATTTCAAGGAACAGGTGTAACGTAAAAAATTTCCCTTGAGCGATTTTACTATATGCTCACCTAATCTCGAACTTTACTCGAAACGCTAACCCGAACATTAGTGAACTTTTAAAAATTTTGCTGCACTACGATAATCTAAAACCTGGCACAGATTTTTTGTTTGCAAAACCGAAATATAACAAGGAGTTATAAGATTTCTAATTTTAGAGTTTATTCACAAAAAGGTGCTTAAATTTTTAGATTTCTTGACAACAGTAATTTGCAAAGTACATTTTCAAAGGATTCCAAAGCGAATAGAAATTAGCATAATTCCGTAGGTAGTAATTATATTTTATAATCACCAACTTTTTTGTAACAACTAGATAAGTTGTATCGATTGTATCGATTATATTGAATTTATTAAACCATCCTAAGTGATAAATCACACATATAAACTGTACCAAAAATTGAATGATATGCTATTATCCTCAGCAAATTTCATCAATAAAAAAAAAATACTTTAAATTTGGAATAATGAAAAAAATACCACCGTTAAAGATCAAAACATCCCTTTTTGTATGAAAACCTTTGTTTAAAAAAAGTTTTTATATCATTCTGTAATACTCAGCTCTTTCAATTCGCTATCTGTTAAATAATTATGCACAATATTGAAAAATAAAACAAATAAAGAATTTCTACTTATTAAAATGTAATATAGTTACCTAGGCAAAGTGATGTAGTATATTTAATAACTTTACTGCTATAAATGTCATCAGAGTGTGTTTGTAGATTTGTGCCTTTAATAAATTCACTTTTATAAGTATCATCAGGATATGATTGTATATGTGTGATGCTTTTAATATTTTTTAATATTTCATCTGATTAATTTAATTCTAATAAAATATTTTCATCATTCTGCCATTCTTCAAGGATTTTACAAATTTTTATTGCTGACAGGCGGTTTATTGGATCTCTTTCCCAACATTTCTTCATTAGGTTTACGTAGCATTGTGGTGAGTTCTCAATAACTACCGGTCGTAAATCATTATGGCATATTTCTAATTGAAGTTGTATTTCAAACTCTTGATTATAAGATGCAGATTTTCCATACAAAATTTCCCACATAATTATTCCAAGCGAGTAAATATCTGATGCCGTTGTATATTGTTCCCCGTCTAAAGCTTCCGGTGCTATACTTTGCTAAATTTTGCAAAATTAAACTTGGTAAAAAAAATCTAAATTTTATCTAATTTATGGGTAATATTAAGCCACTTAAATGTAATGATAATGAACTTTCTAACTCAATCATTTTTGCTAAAAATGATTAAATTTACCAATTTTTTTGCAATTTTTTAGCATTTTAATAGTTTTGTAATTTAATATAATTAGAATTTTATATTGCAAATATTTTTAATTTATTTGAAATTTATATGACAATTATAGCAAAAAGTTTTTATTAAGTTTGCAATGTAATCCCATTTTATTATGGAAATATTTTCTTTATATTTGTAGCAAACACATTCTATTATCTAAAGTTTAATTTCATACAATACTAATCCTATACCCATAAAACCAACAACAAATTGACTAAATAATTGTGCGATATAATTGCATGATATATGTTATCCAATCGGATTAGCCTTCAATGAATTATATATTCCTTTTGCTTCATCTTTGGTTCCACATTAATATCGACCATTCATTACCAACTTCTCAATTGAACATCGTGAGTTTTCTTGTTCTTCTTTGATCTTTCCGTATTCAGTTTCGTTAGCAATCGATTATCAGGTGTAAAACTGTCCTATCAAATTGATAAGTTTCGATGTTAACAAGTTTAATAAATAAATAAACTGATATTACCAGTCCACCACTAAAATCCATAATCATCATTTTCCTGTTTTTCGTCTCTGTGTCACTGTATGCATTTTTTAAATAAATAAATAAAAATAATGACTAGCTTACAAGTTTTTGCATTTTCTTACACCGAAACTTTTGCTAAATTTTATTGCAGCCAATTTTTTTGTTCTAGCCAGAACTTGGTAGAGGTTATCAATATTGTTCAAATTTTCTTGTATTCACTTTTATGGTCGTAAGAGTTGCTAATTTGGTTTTTGCTGAATTAAGGTCACGTTGTTTTCAGCTACGTTTTTAGCTACGATTAATTATCGATCGTTGCCTAACATAAATCCTTATAACAATAATATTTGTTTAGAGATTTTAGTTCGTCGATCTATAATGTTTGATTAAGCATGAACTAAATCCAAATAATTGACAATAAAAATTTGTCTACCTGATTTTATTATTTATCGAGCCAATTACTTCCTTAACAATAACTATTGATTTTCTAAAATATGTAGTATTAGCCATACGTACTAACCTAATTTGGTTCAGAACAAATACAGCAAATTTATCGTTATTATATAAATTCGCACGTTCAATATAAAACATTTTAGTTCATAATGTCTAAGGGTTAGTATAGAGAGGCTATCATATATACTAATAAGATATAACATCATTTACTTATAAGCGTTGTCCAATCTGCGAATTTTTAATATGCATCATTAAATCTTTTTATCAACTTTTCGTTCTTGGTTCTAATTCCATTAGTTACGAAGTTCAATATCCACGGATTTTATTACCATTGAATGTCTTCAGTCTTCGATCCTAACTTCATTCTACAAAAAATCCGATACCGAATCTTGATAAATTATTCGGCATTATATTTTTTATTTGATTTTCAAAAATACACATAAAAGATAATAATACATACATAAGTCTCTCTAGCCATCATAGAGAATATTTATTATTTCGAAAATATTTTCTGCTTTAATTGCTTGGTGTTTTTTTTTTTTTTGCCTTGTAAATGAAAAATGCACAGTCCTTTTCATTGATTATAACGATAATCGCTATATAAGTAGCAAATAGTTTCATCCGAACAATTTCTAGTTGTAGCTTTTATGCACGTCCAAAGCTTTGACTTGTAAAATAACAAATATAAATTTTGATATGAGCTCACCTATGTTTTAGTCTAAAAAAATTTTGCGCAATAAATCATGATTCTTTAGATGGCTGTGAAAAAAAATCATTTCGAATATATTCATGATTTGCAACGTCATGTTGTTGTGAAGAACACCTTGATTTACAATTGTGAGCAAATAAAATATTTGGTGATCTTGACACAATAGAGATTGGGTGAATTCGATCCCAAGAATTATTAGAGGTATGTTGAAGACGATAAAGAGGACAGCCCAGTAAATCATCAATTTTTTTAAGATCTTCCAGCTATTCTAAATAGATAAACACGTAGGCTGACCATCCTTCCATATATGTTCAATTATTCTTTTGACCATTCCGAATGCAGACTTCCTGTCATTAGATAGAACAGTTTCTACTATTTCACCTACACAAAATTTTACGTATTGATAATCGCCATTAGGCTCAATGATAGAATACGAAACATTTTGATAATATTTAATGCTTGTATTTAGTAATGATTGCTCCATAGAAAAATATAAAGAATATGCTCGCATAATATTTTCCAGAAGTCCATTAGTTTCAAGTTCAGTAGAGACAAATCTGGCACTTTCAATTTTACATTTGTCTAATCTT